AATAACAACAATAATCAATATCATTAAGGCAGAGAGCAGCGGCGGTGGCGGCGGCGGCAGGACCGGCCTGGGGCCGATCCAAAGGCCTCGGGGGGCCGCATCCGGCCCCCGGGCCTTAGGTTGCCTACCCCTGATATAGGAGCTTATCGTACCACTAAATAAATCTTACCTCTCCCAACTTCAATCTTAATTCTGGTGACATCAGGATACTACGACAATGAGAGCCAGCATGGCGTAATGATTTTAGTGTCAGACTATATAGGAGCTTATCGTACCACTAAATAAATCTTACCTCTTCCAACTTCAATCTTAATTCTGGTGACATCCAGATACTACGACAAGGATTTCGTTGCCAAATCTGCCCAGTCCCAGGGGTGCTCCAGTGGCCATTTTCTGAAGTCAGAAAACTTCTGGTTTCAAAAAGAGGCATGCTGAGCACCTCTGGGACCTGGCCTCAACCCAGGCTGGATGCAGATGGCAGATTTGGTGGTAAAATCCCTGTGATAGTCTCCAGATGCCATTCAAATTAAGATTGAAGTTGGGAGAGGTAATAAGGTTTCTTTTAGTGGTGCAATAAGCTCCTATGACTCTGGAGACCAGGGTTCGATTCCTAGCTTGGCCATGAAACCTATAGGGTGACCTTGGGAAAGTCACACTATCTCAGGGGAAGGCAATGGCAAACCTCCTCTGAATCAATCTTGCCAAGGAGATTCCATGATAGGTTCACCTTTGGGTCACCATAAGCTGGAAATAGTTATACACAGTTCACACAATGATCAAGGGGTGTTGGTAAGAGTAGAATCAGCAGGTGAAATCCTGTTACCTTTCCATGTGATTACAACAGAGTTTACAAATTACAAAATATAACTTTTTTTTGGAGTACATGAAAATCACCACACCAGCATGACCACTAAAATCTGTAGTCCAAAACAGCATTCTTTCCAAGTTATGTCCAGTATCACTAGCCATCTACTGTGTGAAAAGCGCTAATGTTACTGAAACTGCTGCTTGTTTGTTTGTTTGTTTGCTTAGTTGGTTGCTTGGCAAAAGGAAGTAACGAGTTAGGGACTAGAGCACTGTCAAAAAGCAGAATTAGTTGAAAAGTGGAACCCAATTATTTTTAGCTAGCAAATGCATTTTGACTGCTGAAGCTTATCACATTCATTTAAAAACTGGTTTACCTCTTCCAGATTAAATCTTAAATTGGATAGCATCCTGATATTATCAGAAGGATTTAGCTACTGAATCTGCCACCCAGATCCATCCCAGGTCCATCCTCATTCACAGGGGCACTCAGCACACCTCTTTTCAAAGCTGGGAGTTTTTTGGCTTAAGAAAATGGCTTCCGGAGCGCCCCAGTGAGCGGGGATGGACCCGGGATGGACCAGGTGGTGGATTCAATGGCTAAACCCTTCAGATTATATCAGGATGCTGCTCGATTTAAAATTTAATCTGGAAGAGGTAAACTGGTTTTAAAATGAATGCGATAAGTTTCTATATCACTTTTGAATGTGTGCAAAAGCTAAATACTGTAATACACTATATAGATACAAGAAATAAAGTAAAATGAACAAAAGCTAACTTTTAATGTCCTGCACAGTAATATAAGCACCCCAGACTGAATTCAGAGGTACAGCAGACTGAATGCAGTGCAGTTGTGAAAGTGTCAGGCAACACTTGCTTTGGACTACTATGGAGGCTTACTTTGGACTGCTCATGTATTGCATGCTGCTTGCAATGTGAGCTGAGACGGAGAGGAGGCATCAAGCCTCTGTAGTCAGCTTTGCTCCTTTTTCCCTCTTTCAGCTCACTTTGCAAGAAATGCACATGTCCAAAGTGAGTCTCTGTGAGAAGAAGAACTGATGCAAGCTCATTCTTTCAATGTTTACAAATTACACAGGCAATTTCCATTAATTAATTGAATAGACCACTCTTTCTCTAGGCAAGCTTTGGGACCACGAACATCAGAGCAACAACAGAAATCCCAAAGGACTTTATGGTTCTATACTTGTGGTTCATACTGTGTATTCCTTGGCCATTCTTCTTCCTCACTGCCTGGGGGCAGAAGCAACAGACATTCTTTACAGCAGCATTACTCAACCTGTGGGTTGCGACCCCGGCGGGGGTCGAACGACCAAAACACAGGGGTTGCCTAAAGCCATCGGAAAATACATATTTCTGATGGCTTTAGTCGCTGACAAGTCGCGCTACCATCAGCAGCAGAAGAAGGCTCGGGCTCTTCTTCTTCTTGCCGC